TTGTCTCTTTGAACCCTATCTCAAAATCAGTATAATTTAGCTGTTAGAGCGACTGTCACTACCGTACCTTGACAAAACCTACCCAGCCCCTACTAATGTATTGTACTTAAAAATTAAATAGAGGTGAAGTCAAACTTATGGTATTTTGACATTAGTGTTATTTAGAGGTTAGTTTTCATCCAAAATGAAAATAAACACTTGTATGAACTCTTATATAGCTTTCTGACAGATTTGTGACTACTAGCAAGCACATTGAGAGCTAACATCAACAAATCAAACATCAACAAATCAAGATTTAGTGAAATAAAATAGATTAGCCAAAATACCAAATTTTCAATGTACTCTTTTTTGACACCAAATATATAATCTGCTGCGTTAAATCAATCTAGGAGAGATTCGTAATATGAACTATGGGGATAGTGAACATAAGGTTGCAATGTAATTATATCACATAGTTTCATTTATTAACACCCAAAAATGTGAAAATTAACAAATATTGCAAAAAAATAATTTTGACCTAATATTTTGATGCACCAAAAATATCAAATCTTCAATGCACTCTTTTTTGGCATCATATATAGAATCTGCTGCGTTAAATCAATCTAGGAGAGATTCGTAATATGAACTATGGGGATAGTGAACATAAGGTTGCAATGTAATTATTTTTTTTAAATCGGAGAAACGAAATATTGAACACATGCAATGCATATTATCAATCAGCCTCCCGAGAGGCATTGATTATTCGAGTTAGAAACTCAAAGTAAATACTTCTGCGTGCACTCGAGATTTTTGCAATGCGGTTGCATTTGACTCACGTAGCCAGCGGAGCGGCGTTCTTCAGAGCGCGTTTCTGTTATATTATTTTTCTCCATTATTTCCATTATTGTTATTCTTATTATTATATGCATTTCTTATGATACTCTCCCGTTGTCACCTGAAGCCGTATTCCCACGGCATGTTCGCTCCATTGCTCGACACGCTCCATGCTCCATTGGAGATTGACTTATTTTGCCCTAGTGGATGGATGTAAGATTTTGTTCCGGAGATGATTTGCAAGTGATATCTAGAGGTATTTTAGTCTAGTAAAGGTTGTATTGTTGACCAAGACTTCAAATCCAAAAGTGAAGCATGTGCTCCTGAATGCAGCTCAGTAAATTTGTGAAACATGTGCTCTTGAATACAACTCAATGAATTTTGTTAACTGATAAATTTCAGATTTTCTGAATCAGAAGTTACCATTTTATGGTATATATAATTATATGTTAATTAGATATAATGAACATTTCTTTTTTTCACATAGTTTCAACTTAGTTCATTAACAAATATTGCAAAAAAAAAATTGCCTAAATATTCCCCGAAAATTTGGGCCTATTGTCTGAACATTTGGTAGTCTCGGTACATCTATTTTATTTTTATAAATCAAATTTTTTGTTGGTTTTCAGTGTGGCGGTAGTCATAAAAATATCAAAAAGCTACGCCTTTGCTGGCCTTTGCTATTTATATGAACTTATTTAATTTTTTCGTACTGTCAATGGGTAAAAAAATAACCTCCAAATAATGCAAATATCAAAATAATAATAGTTCGATTTCAAACATAGCATATTTATAAGTGCAGTGCTTAAGTGTCTATTGGAACTGCTTAATGATAAAAACTAACCTCCAAATGTCAAAATAATATTAGTTTCAAATATAGCTTATTTATAAGTGAATTGCTGAAGTGTCTATTGTTTGGAACTGCTTAATGATAAAAAGTAACCTCCAAATATCACAAATGTCAAAATAATAATAGTTTGACTTCAAACATAGTTTATTTATAAGTGCAGTGCTTATGTGTCTATTGTTTGGAACTGCTTAATGATAAAACTGATTACCGAAAATAGCTAATACACTTATAATAATAGTTTGAAAGATTTAAGTGTGGCCTTGCTATAATATATGTATCCTAGATTTGGTCCAGTAAATTCTATTTTAGTTCAGTTTACTAAACTAATTCTAGTCACTAAAACTTCATGTAATTTATTTAGCATCGCATTCATTTAATATTTAAAGAGAAGTTCTGTATATTTTTTTTCTTTATTATTTTTAAATTTATAGATTTAATTTTTTAGCATTTTTGAATTTTGCAATCAACAACATTTATTGTAATGGTTATGAAAATGAATATATTCAGGATTCAGTGGAAATTATAAAAAAAATCAAATGTTTTATTTTTATATTTTTTTATAAATAACATTTATATTATAAATAACATCAATATTATCTAAATATTGCATTGGAAAAAATGACGCTCGTTTTCTTATTATATATAATCGTATAGAGAATTATTATATATAATCGTACATGCATATAATATATTGAAGATTGATAATAATAATAGTAGCTGAATCTCATTGCTTGTTATAGTGAAATGATTCACTGAAATCTCGATTTACTGAAAAATAATCGATATGTCATAATGTATATAACATAATGAATATTACATATTTGTATCATATTACTTAGCTATTTGTTGCACAATTTGGATTATTTGAGGGTCAGAGGAGTCAAAGATTATAACATTATAATTTGTTAACGAGTGCTTACAAATACCAAGCAATTTATATAAGAAAAAAATGTGAATTAATTAATATTTAATGTATTATTTTTAGTGGCTACACAAATGACAATGGCCTCAAACAGCCAATACAAGGGAATAGACAGAGCATTTTGTGTACGAATGAAATCAACATTAACGAAACGTGGATGTCATTTCAAGTCTTCAGGATATCGGGTAAGCAATAAAAAATAACTATTTTAATATGTTTTAGTACGTTTTTCAACCAAAATTTTCAACCAAATAATAAGGTTTTCAATAAAATAATAAAGTTTTAGTATGGTTTTCAAACAAATAATCTGGGGGCATATACATATTTATCGACATTTTTAGACTGACATTATAAAATCCCTTGTAGCTGTGGACTGTATTAAACACTGATTTGTTTGTATATTATGTATTTGTTGCAGTTCTAATTACAATCACTGATTTGTTACTAAGTTATAATAAAAGAAGATATATTTATTGGCTATTTACTATACATGTTGTTTCGCGGACTTTTCTTTTAGAAGTGAACAACTAGTTCAATTTCTGGAAATATTTCAAAAAGAAATGTGAGATATTGTAGCAAGTGTTGTATATTATAAAAATGGACTGGACTGACAATTATAATTATAAAATCATTTGCAATGTGATATTCGCGGCTTAGTGGTGGCGTAATCAGTTCGGTTGCTGATTCTATTCCCGCCGCGACCAAAACCCAACATCAGGCGGCTTTCATGTAAATTTCCACTTTAGGTTATAGATATCAAGTGAAATCTATAACCTCAAATATGATATCAAACAAAAATCGCCATTCGTGGTCATTATGAAATTATTAACCATGAAAAATGACAACAAATACGTCGAGTATAGTCAAAACTGTATTGGACAACTACGAGGTTACCATCAGTTCAATAACCATTAAATTGTAGTTAAAAGTATGCAATAAAACAAAACCTGATATTTGCCCTGTGTTCTAGAAATATTTAAAAAAAATGAAAAAAAGTTGTTCTGAATATTTTTGTGTTTCTGAAAATATTTTGGAAAGGGATATTGGACATTGTAAAAATCGACTTTACTGGCGTTTTAAGATTATTCGCTACTTCATATTTATGTTGGTTTATGAGATATTTAAGAAAAATAAAAAATAACTGAGTATTTTCGTGTTTTTATGAAAATTTCAAGGGGTGCCATTAATAACGTTATGAATTTTTTAAGGATTTCTGGATCGCCTCTTCTCCGTGGTGATACATAGTGATAATCAAAGTTATTTTCCCTTTCCCACCAAACATCACGTGTATTTTTCATTACGAGAAAAAATTGTAAAATTTTTGATTTTTTTTTTTTTGAAAATGTTTGGGTTGCGAAAAAAATAGTTTGCGACTATCATTTTAAAATCATTATCTTCCCGTAGAGTGAGTTATTGTAATCGTCAAAAAATCGAAATTGAAAATTTTTGCATTTCTCGACGTTTTGAAGGTTTCTGAACATTTTGGCATACCTCAGAAAAAATGGATGCGTGTGTGTGTATGTATGTATGGATACAATTTTTCGGTCACGTTTTCGGGCGCACGGATCAACCGATTTGAACGGTTCAAAAAACATTCGATTCCTATTAATAGGGAGATGTGCTGATTAGTTTTTGGCAAAGGCGGGTTCAGCAGTTACGGCTATAAAGAGCAAAAAGTGCAGGAAATAGAAATCGAGTTTTTGAGAGTACGGAGCATCCGATTTGAATGATCTAAAAACATTCAATTAGTAATGATTGGGAGAAGTGGTTATTAGTTTTTGGCAAAGGCAGGCCCAGCCATTTCAAAGATACAGAGCTAAATGTGCAAAAAAATGCACTTTTTGAGGGAACTAGGCGTCTGATTTAAATGATTCAAAGAACTTTCTGCTTGTTTTAACAAAATAACTGATTTTGGGAAAAAAAATTGTCTAAAATTTTTTTTTGTAATTTTTTTCTGTCGAAAATAATTCATTTTTTATTTTTAATTCTGACTAAAGTTCTACTATACTTAAAACAAATATTTTCAACTTTGCAATTTTGTTTATATAGTTCTTATAAATGTTAGACAATGTTACAATATTTATAATAATCTATTTGAAACATTCAATATTCATCGAACATTTCGTTACGGTACGGGAAGTTCCAGTATTTTGCCTTAAGGCACGATGCCGTACACCCCACTAGTTTAAAACTTGATATTTGCATTGGCTCTCGAGATATTTCAAAACTGAAAAACTAGCGAGGTTTTGTGTTTCTCGAGATATTTCAAAAACAGCTTGTGGGATATTTTGCAAGTGTTGAAACTAGAAACATGCAAGGACTACAAATAAATAAATAATTTTTAATTTCGAGTCATATTACACCTTACATTACATATTACATACTCGAGTAGTAAGATTTCTGTAATAATTCAGTTCCATAATCAAAGTATGAATATTCGAAGTAATAACGGCACGTCGATGCCTCGGAGCGAACTATATAGCACGTGATCATCTCCAAATGGCCCTTTTGCAGTCAATATTCAGTCATTTATTATACTAATGGCCCTTTTATCGCTTATTTTGATCTCTCTCACAATTAGTATTAGCTTCATAAATGAGATATAGGGTTAAAATTACTTTATTTCTATCGCCGTAGTTGAACCATGTTTCATATGAGAATGCGAATGAAATCTTAGATATTTCTTAATTACAACTTGGTCTTACATACGGATTGAGAAATGGCATAACTTAGGATTTTGGAATGTGTAGAAGCAAGAGTTTTAATATATTTTAATTGCAATTGCTAAAACTTTATTTAATTTTATATTGGATTCATTTTTTTTAAGTTATTAATAATTGATTTATACGAAGACTAAATGATTTGAAGGTTTTCTTTTGTATCATGATACCATATAGAAATTCGAATATAAAATGTGATCACTTAAAGATTATAAAATGTAACCGTTACAAAATTTTTATGCTTTATGAAATTGAGATAATTTTATTATATGTGCATTAGGATGGTCCTCAATATGGATGTTTTTGAATTTCTTTGCTTCCAGGAGCTCAATCTTTCAAATTGATAAAAAAAAAAATCTGAAAGCTTTAGCTCTTAACTCTAACATAGTTCGCACTCCAACCAAAGTTTCTTGGTTTTTCTTCCTAAGTAAATTAGGAATACTTATTCAAGAATAATACTTATTTTATGAAATATATCAAATTTTACATGTTATTTTTTTATTTATTATAAAAATAAGCAAATGCAATGTTATTCTCAAAATTTTGATTCACTTATCGCTAATTTATAAAACCAATTTTACCTATGTTATTACCATAGAAATATTACCTTTGATTGGAGTACGGACTATCTTAAAGTTAATATTAGAAGCTAAAACTTTCAGACAATTGTTTTTTATCAATTTGGAAGCATTTGAGCTCATGGGAGCAAGGAAATTCGAAAATATCGATATTGAGGACTCTTAATGTGCATATATTAAATAAGTATTTTTTGTATCAAATTGTTTTAGAATTAGTTTTTCTTTATTCAAAATTGCCTAAAAACTTCCTTGTCGACTTTCACTTATATTATATAAAACTAGGATAAGGCGGGGCAAAATGGTTTAATTTGACTTCGAGCAATTATATTGTAAAAACTAAACCAATTATATAACAAGATGTAACACATATCAAACAAACAACTATCTGACTATGCTCAGTAAAACTCCCAGCTAATTCATCATTGTAGAAATGTGAATAATTGCTGTATTCTAAAAATTTGTCACCTGTAAACAACTTGTCAGCATTCTCTGCTAAATATAATTATTTCTTATAGATTGCAGAATGAAAATAAAATAAAAAAAACCTGTGTTTCGTGTGTGTGTGTATGCATCTATGTGTGTGTTGTGCGGATACAAATTTTCGTCGACAATTTCGGGAACACGGGTTAACCGATTTGAATAATTAACAGTCAATTCGTATTGATAAGGAGACGTGCTGATTAGTTTTTGGCAAAGGCAGGTCGAGCCCTTTCGGAGATACGGGGCAAAAAGTGCCAAAATAAGTAACTGATTTTTTTTAGAGAACGGAGCGTCCGATTTGAATAATTCGAAAACCATTTTATTTGTATTGACAAATGAAGAAATGATGAAACTTTTGGAAAGACAGGTCTAGGGGTTTCAGAGATCCAATAAAAAAACTGACAAAAATTGCCATTTGGCGGATAAAAATGATAATTAGACATATGCACATCAAATTATCACATATTTTATACATATTTTAATAATAAGAACTAATTTTGTTCACTTTTCTATGTGTTTCGTTCCAATGTTTATCCGTTAAACTGTGACGTGGTGCCGACGCGCTGCTATATTTCGTTTCTACGCAGCTAACATATTGCGAATGCTTTGAAAAACAGTTCAAAATTTTTAAAATATTTCAAATTATAAAAAAAATCCAATTTTTCAAAAAGGTTAATTGTTCTAAAAAAATTTTTGAAGTAAAACTTTTTTAGGCGCGACTAGGGTGTAAATCCGTACAAATGCAACGGATGTGCGTTACGGCAGATAAGATAAGATAAGATAAGATAAGAGTGCCAATGGTTCGTCATTCGCTCTCGATGATATCATTTCTATACGGGTCGATTGTGATTAGTCGTCGCGTTGTGAATAGAGATCTCGTCGTTGTATGCGGTCCGGTGTCATTTTAAAAAAAAATATATTTTTTTTTTTTTTTTTTTAATTTTAGTTTCACTAATCTATGGTTTCTATTTCAGGTAGTTTTAATGCTGTGCCGATTGCGGGCGCAATACGCATTTAGTCACAATAGAAAATCAACGCCGCCACTGCTGGGGATGGTCGCCTTGGCCATAGCGCTGCCGCCTCCGTCTGTTCATGAGATTCGATTGGAACAAGACATGTTTGTCACTAGAATCAACTTCGATTTTCGGATAGCCCATTGCGAACCAAAGTAAGTATATTTAAAAAAAACTTAATGATTTTGTATTTTGAAGTGTATCACTATTCTGTTATAAATTCTTTCATTGATTCATATTGTGGTAATAATATTTATTTTTAATAATTGAAGATAGAAAAAAATTGAAGTGGTCAGATTATACATATTATAATAAAATAAATATAGGAGGACTGGGTACGGTTGTGCCACTTTTTTATCAGCCATAATTTTGTAAAGTTACCAGTTAAAGAAAGATAAATGAAAGGAAGAAAGATAAATTAAATGGTAATGCATACCGCCACGTAGTTATAAAATTAATTAAAACTCTCTTGTTGGGTTATAATTTAGCCCTTGTAGCTGTGGACTGTATTAAACACTGGTTTGTTTGTATATTTATATGTATTTGTTGCAGTTCTAATTACACTATTGATTTGTCTCTAAGTTCTAATTGAAGATGATATATCTATTGGTTATTTATTACACTTGTTGTTTTGCGGGCTTTACTTTTAGAAGTGGACAATTAGTCTCATTAAACTTTCCGCTACCTCCTCTACCAGGGGTAGCAACCATTCCGTGTAAAAGCTCAATGCCATGAAGATTGTCACCTTTATAGCCAATATAATAAAACGAAAATACGTCGGAACTGGTAATTTAATGAAAAAATATTGAAATACTCGTTCTGATAAAAAGGGCGAGTGTCACAACTATTTACACCCTCAGGAACGGTTGTGACAGGCATGAAAATAGGTTGAAAATCAATGGGTATGAAAACCAAAATGACTTTTTTTGGCAGAAATATATAACACAACACAACACAACATTATCGTTTAAACAAAGGTAATAAATTTAATATAAAAATATATAACAAAACATATTCGTGCAAACCAAGTTAATAAGAAACCTTTGTAATACTTTTTTTCTTATATTGAATTTTCTTTTCTCTTTCTCTGTCCCAGTATTTTGTCTTATTTTAGTCAAGTTAAAATTTTTCCGAAAAGGATAAGAAATACATGTCACAACCGTACCCAACGCACACATTTGGAGACAAATTATATTTATGATTTACCTAAATTATCTACTCAAAAACTAACACCGTTGTAGTTAACTACTAAAATTCAACTTATAGTAAAATAACAAATAAAGTAATCTGATATATCTGATAGTCTTACTGTATACAAGTAACAGTTATTGTTTATAGAAATAGAACGAAAAACTTTTGACTCTTTAAAAGAAATTCGGTCTACATGTCATGTTCATGTAAGGCGCTGACTGAAAGCACTAATGGAAACTTGTTCAAACAAACATACTACATATTTTTCCCCTTGGACCCCTTCTCAAAATCAGTAAAGTTTAGCTACTGTACCCTGGCATAACTGTACCCAATCTCCCCTATGCCATGCTTAGATACTTTGTATGACATCTCATACCAGTAACATGTTTTATAATTGAAACAAAAAATATGATAAATTTGTTCATGACGTAATCACCAAGAGCAAACTTCTGTTATATTTAGAGTAATTAAAATCAGGTTAAATTAGTGTAACTACCGTTTCGTACCGTTTTCGAATCTTTTAACCATGTTTTAACATCTGCAACATCATTGGAAGATGTTCCACATATTCTAGCAGAAACTGCAACCAAAACTCAAAAGCTTGCGCTACTTGACCAGAGATGCGTATTCAATTTTCACACAATAGCTCCGTTGGAAAAATATATCGGTTCGAATAATGGTTATTTCACAGTTTCTATATCACTAAGTCTTGTACACATGAAATAAATAAGTAAACGAATAGATTAAAAGCTAATTAAATTCAAAAGTTTAAATTAACTTTCCAAATGGAAAATTCTACAAATAATTATATTTAATTCGATTTTATTTAGTTAGTGCTTCAGTTTTTTCAAATGCTTTAGATTTCCATTTGCATTACAATCTTATGTGAGCATATTATTTTTAACAAGGAAAACCTCCAGTTTACTCTTCTGGGATTTTAATCAATTTTTGCATGAAAGAGTTGATAGACGTGGGACCAGAATTAACCAATATTAAAAGCAAACAAATGATCTATCAGGATATATTTCACAACATTGCATAATAAAAACGTTCTTTTACTTTAATTACATACATGTATATAGCTTTATTGTCGATTTTAATCACTGCTTTACTCAATAACATAATTACAAGTTTAGCGAAGATACTAAATAATATTTTTCTTCTTTTAGAGTCGCAGATCTATTAGAATACACAGCTGAAGAAATGACGGGTAAAAATCTCTATTCTTTATGTCATGGCGAAGATGCTAGCAAATTACGAAAATGTCACGTTGACTGTGAGTATTTTTCTTTCATTTCTACAATGTAATTAACTTACTTCAATTTCTTTATTTGTTTTAATATGAAATAATAATTTATCGTTGTGTATAAATAAAGTTTGCTAACTATTTATATTGATATTTTCAGTAATCAATAAGGGACAAGTTTTAACACATTACTATCGTTTAATGAATAAAAACGGAGGATACACCTGGATCCAAACATGTGCCACTGTAGTATGTAGTTCAAAGAATGCTGAAGAACAAAATATAATCTGTGTCAATTACGTCATCAGTGGTAAGGAAAATGCTCACTTGATATTAGACAGCTGTCAGTTGCCCGGAGGATCATCATCTGTACAAGGCGTGAAACGAGAAGAATCTGGTGGAGATGGAGCTGGTTCTCCTGACACCGATTCCAATAATATATCAAATAATGCTTCATCTGCAACGAGTACGTTGACATCCACGCCAAATGTTAGTCAACAAGAAACTAGCCAACGAGGCAATAGCACAAACACAAATGAAACAATTACGAAACGCGGCCATAAAAGGAAACAAAGCGAGGCAGACAGTTGCTGCAGTGACGAGAGCCAGGATAGAACCAATTCAACACCACCTGCCAAGATTAGTGCTGATGTTATAGAACCGGATCCTGAACCGCCGAGTGTGAGGGATTTGGAGCATGCTATGTCCAAGCATTTGCCAACTCAGACGACCACTGATTTTAGCACTGATACCTTACTTAAGCAGCAACAGAAAAGTAGTACGATCCAATGGATCGGGACGCACCATGCTCAAGCGCAAATGCCTGCATCGGCACTTCTTCGGCAGTTGTACGCAAATAGGGAGAGTGTGATCCGGGCAACTACGAGAACAACAGGTATTTTTGTATTTCATAACACAGTTCACATACATGAGTTTTATATAATGCAGTTACATTCGTGCCATCATTCCGTTTATCATGACTTACTCGATTCTGTCTGATCTGATTTATATTTTTACTTGTCAGGACTAGTGTTAGAACGAAATATCGAGTACTGAGTAAATATCGATACTTTGCGGTCGATAGTGAGTACTTTTGCTATCGATTTTTTAGCTCGATCTATTTGCCAATATCGATTCTTTTCGTCGATAGTACTCAAAAAGAATCGACAGCGTAATTTATGAACACCACTCATCGACCAACTATTAAACCACTAATCGACCAACTATTAACACCACTCATTGCCAAATGCAAAGCCAAATGTCTCTCTAGGTGGTCATAATTGTTCAAAGAAGTGTCAAAAAATGATCCCGAAGGGTCATTAGTCTCAGAATTTATTGCTCAAAAACCCAAAATGAATATGACCACACTATTAAATAAAGATGTTTATTTATTACTCTTATGTAAAATGAAATGGCTTTTTAAAGTACCTTAAATGTTTTATAAAAACACATTCAACAATCGAAGTATGATTATTTCAAATAATCATACTCATCAATTTCAATATATTAGTATTTTGCGTTTATTATATTTCGATTCTTTTTTACGCAAAATACTAATATATTGAAATGGATGAGTATTATTATTTGAAATATTTATATTTCGATTCTTTTTTTACGCAAAATACTGTATATTGAAATTTTTGAATATCAACATGCAAACATATGGGTTTGAGTTTCTCGGAACCATTTAAACTTTAAATCCCATCGCTCAGAAGGGATGTTTCTCTACAAGTGTGGAAATATTATCTTGACCGTCATTAAACTGAATGTTTATTGTTTTCCAAAGAGCTTCATATTGCACTTTTATGTAAACATGTAACGGCTTTTTGAAGTTGCATGCTCGCTAAAATTATTCATATAAAAATATTCAACAATTATCAAATATTATTTTACTTAAAAATATTAAAAATATTATTGTAAAAAATACTTAAAAAGTATTGCATTTTTGAATATAGTATCACACTATTATATTGTTTTAATCAAAAACACTCAACTATTATAACTTTTTTTTTGAAAAAGTATAGAATTTGAAATTAGTATTGAAAAATTACTGTTAACATTTTACAATATTGAAAATGATTCTGATTTAACACATCAGATAAAAGCAATAGAATTCATTCTAATATTGTGATATGATATTTAATGAGTTTTAGATCTTTCTTGCACTTATGTTTGATTTTTATGAAAAGTACTCAAAATTCGATATTGAGTACTATCGATACTATTGCCACGATATTTTTTTGGCATCGATATTTTGATTAGATACTTTTTAAAGTACTCAATATCGATCTTTTGCCTCGATACTTCTAACACTAGTCAGGACATCTCAATCAATTTGTGCGAAGAACTTGAGAATAAAAATAAAATGGTCATTTAACTAATTACAGTATAATTAACTATTTTGTATTGCGTTTTTTATTTCAGTGTTTACTTGACAATAATTGTTATATTTTGCAGGACCTTTCTACGAAGGTCAAAGTACACCACCTGGCACAGACGGATACACGGATCCCCAATTTACCGCATTGCAGAAAGGAGATGCGTTTACTAATTTAGTTTCCACTTACGGAGGTTATCATTCTACTCCTGCAGATTACCATTCTGCAATGACGCCTCCGAGTTCAGTTTCTCCTAGGGATAAGACTGCTAACGTCCCAAGTGTGGTAACAGGACCTACAGGCTACGAAGGATTCGCGAGCTACGCCTCGACTGATGCGCTCCAGTTGCCTTTGAAACCTCAAGCCTACCCAGCAATGCACGGGGCCCCATTGGACGCATACGGAGCACTGGAGCAGAGCCAATTTTATTCTCATCATAGTGGGTTCCATCTGTATCACAAAGGTTCACCGGCTGCCGGCTGGTATTCAGCGCCATCATAGAAATAGGATCTGGATTTGTGCGACGTTCCGTATGTATCCAAAGTGAATATTGTTTGAAAGAGACTTGAATAACCAAGCCGTCTATTCCATGAAGCAACTTACCATATATTTGACTACTAACAAATGAAGAAATTCATTTGTATCTGTAGAAACTGGCAAATCGTGTTTTACAAGATGTTACATCTATTAAAACTTACTTTTATATACAGAAAAATATATTTATTACTTATGTGTATGCATTAGACAACTTAAGAGACGCGATCACGACGATTGGGAATTGTATATGAATCCTTACATGAGATTCACAAAATTAAAATTTGAAACTATATAATTCATGAATCTAATATCATTTATTCATTTAGAAATTTTACATATACCAAATAAAAATGCACGCAGCCAGCCAATCAGTCGAGATATACAAAAATCATTTTTTTTTCAAAATCAACTGTAGTCAACCCTCCTACAACGCTGTGAGTTCGTGCCGTGTAATATGGTAACCGCGCTGTAAGAAACTCGAATTGAATATAAAAACCATGTAAACCGCGTTTCTAGTATACAACGTTAAAGAAAGGTCGACTGTATTTGTTACTGATTTGAATGGCCAATACCGACAGATTTTTATCATAATCTAACATAAACGATAACGTTTCCGATATCGAATTTTTAAGAGAGTTGATTTTGATTTGCACAAAAATAATATTATTTTTTCACCAATTCGCATTAAAATATAAAGGTAACCCGCATTTAACACAGTAGTTACGTTGTTTGTTGCAAAAACCACTCGTGTTATAGGAAACAAAGGACTAGTACTCAAAAAGGGGTTTGGTTCCACAAAGTTAAAGGAAATATTTTATTACACTTCCATAACAATTGTATACTATATATGTTCATTGTCTTTTTAAGAATGAATAATCTGCCTAGACAAAAATGAGAAGCATGTATAAAATTTATTAATTTTATTATTTGTAAATTTTTAAGAAGACTTGAGCCTTCTGCGGAAAATCTGATAGAAAGTGCACACTAGATGTATCACGTTTACTACTAATTTAATAACTTTTAATTAGATAAAATTTGCTTTTATAAATTTTGTTATATTTCATATTTTATTAGAGTTTTGCTCAATTTTGAACCGTTTTAGGGTCACCTGTATTGTTACAAGGTATAGTTACAAAGGACTAACACAAAAATAGCGTTACGTTTCTAGAATTCAAAAAAGACATACTTATATACTACTTATTATAATTTTATAAAAAAAATATTAAATTATTCAAATTTTCTTAAGAAGTAATACATAACTAACAAGTAAGTGCTATACAAAAGCGATCGTTTTCCTTTTGGCGATTTATTCTATTCCTCTGATCATTTTTCTGTACTGCTGAAAAATCGAGCATTTCAGTAATTTTTGATTGGATGAAGTTTCTATTTAATTTTTCTTTTTTATTAGGGTTATGCTCAATTCTCAAACCTTGTTATAGCGAATTCGAGCTTAAAGTACCGTGTTATATAGGGGATAGTTTTACTTGGAACTTGTTGTAGCGAATCCGTATTACAGAAGTACCGTATTATAGGGGGGTTACCTGATTTTGTGAACACCCTGATCAACTCTCTTAAGTCTAACACATATTGAAAAATCGTCAGTTCAATACATTTCTCCCTGAAACCATCACAAACATATCACATTATATTTTGCCAAATCAATATAATTTTACATGAATCGAAATATTGTTCTTATAGTATTCTTAAGTGTAATTGAAAAATGCAATTTCAAAAGTATTTTCTGCACAAATAAGACATAAAATATAAGTGAGGTGATTTGAATAGGTTGAATGGACAATATATAAAAATAGAATCTGATTAAATATAATTTACCAAATCCTATTCTAATTTTAAAATGCGAATTAGAATCTCGAGCACAAAGTTGTTAAGAAAATTCTTATGACTGCTCCTATCTGCAGATGCTTATATGTGGACATATTTTTCGGCTTACTATAAATCATATTGATTTTGCCATGAGCTGTTTGTAAATTTTTTATAGAAAGCCATATAGTGACCATGTTACAATTTTTGTATATATGCTGAAACCTAATTAAGAGTTTGCATTTGGGCATAGATCAAATTATTTGTTTTTATTATTCGTACTAAAATATGTCTATTATTATCAATAATTGATATAAATTATTCAAACTTAGAATAGAAAATATGTAATATAAAACTATTGTACATATATATATAATAATAATCTAATATACATAACAGTTATCCTAACACTAGGCATTGAAATAAATTATATAGTATCATATAGTATTCTAAATCATAATTTCATCACAATTTATAGATTTTATTTACTTTTCTAATTATTTTTGGAAAAAAAAGAATGGGGATTCGGGAAGAGGGGCAATAAGATTTTTCATAATTGCCATATTTGATTAATGTGTTTAATCTTTATGAACTTTGTAAATATGACATATGTTGCTGGTTGTTTGTCCAATTACAAAAACTATGATAAAATCTGTGCACTTTTAATAGATGGCGTTATGAGAAGACTTTAGTTTTGTAAAAATATGAAGTGTCTGATTTTATATTATATTTAATAAATATTTAATATGCATTGTGATTTAAAATAAAAGTATATCTTTTAATTGGGTGGACAAGCCAAAATATTCATGTGGACCTGTGCATATAAAAATATTACTTTAAAATAGTGCTTTAGTTTTTTTTTATAATATCTCGATCAGCATGGTATTTTGCATAATACTGAATTTTTGTTAAACCAGTGCTAGTTTGTAAAATGTGCTTTTGATATGTTATGTTTAGCACTTAAAACACTAATAACATATGTCGAATATTTAATGTAAATATATTTTGTTTCATCATTATTAAAAATTTTAAACAGTATGATACTGTTACATATTATTGATATTTGTTAGATTCATTCCAATAAAAATATAAATATATGTGAAATCGACTTTTGATTTTATAAAAACTTATTCTTGATGCTGTTGTTGAACAATAACCCTTTTGTTGTCGATTTGAAACCGATATTTCTGCGCTCCAAACTAATAATTAACTTCCCATTTTCGAGAATATGGAATACGAATAACCGATTTGAATGATTGAAAAAACATTCGGTTTGTACAGACCACGAGAGGTTTTGCAAAAGGCACGTCTAATCGTTTCGGAGAAATGGAGCGCAAAAGGTGTAAAAATGGTTATGCAGTTTTTGAGATAATGTATTATCCGATTAGATTAATTCAAAAAAGTTTTTTCTTGTGTAGACGGTGTGAAAAAAAGGCTTTTTGAAATAAATTCATAATTTTGAAAATTCTCAAAAAAAAAAATCAAAATTTTCAAAAAAAAAAAGTTTCAAAAACTTCAAATTTTCAAAATGCTTCATCATTTTTTTAAAAAAATTAGATTTTGAAGGACTTCAAAAATATCAAAATTTAAAAAATAAGCAATAACTTACAAAAACTTTAAAATATTTCGAAATTCTCAAAAAAATCAAAAATTTTCAAACATTTGTAAATTTTCGAAAATTTAGAAAAAAATCAACATTTTCAAAAAAATCTTATTAATTCACAGTATCTGTGAATGTCACTTATAAATTTACAGTATATGTTTATAATAAATAATCCGTTTGAAATTATTTATTTTGATTATTTTTATTTCTCGAATGTTTAATTTTAGTGCGGAAAGCTCCAGAAATTTGCCTTAAGGCACGATGCGTCCTTTTTTTCCATTATCAAGCACTATAAAATGTAAATATAAATAGATGTTGCCATACTGCTCTTCAAAATTGTACTTTAATTATTTTAAATTTTAAATTCTAAAACTATTACATATTAATAATATAAATGCAAACTGTTTAATTATATAAATATTCAACACAATCTAAGTACTTGAAATTTTAAACCAAAGTACTTGTAATAATCTTATCTTTCATAACCTAATAAGAATTAGTTACAGTTATCGAAATCTATAAATACAGATGAACAAGCATCATTTGTAATCAATTGCAAGTTGTGTTTATATAAATTTTAGCTAATAATAATGAAGTTGCTAGTGGCGGTGTGTGCTGTAGTTTTTACGGCCACTTCAGCTTCACCCATTAAAAATGAAGGTATGAAATAATAATATATTCAATTTCTAAGATTATATTTTTATAAGGTTGCTCTTTTATCTTTTTTGAAGCAAATGCAAAAATGAATAATTATTATTATTTTGTAATATTCTATTTTATAATAATTTTTCTTGACACATATTTACTATAAATCAACATATACAATGAATAGCTTTCGGATAATTTCAAATTTCTATCCATCCATGCAACCGTTCATTCGTATATCATACATAGTTGTTATAAATTCAGTACTGAATTTGCGTTCTACAAGACTATTTTAATTATTTCAACTACAGATTAAAATAAAATATGCCGATTCCTAAATACAGTCTTCAATTTTCCTATATAATCAATTTTTGTTTAGATTTGGTTTGGATGGAAAGCGGAAAGTTCGAAGGTGACATGGTCTTAAATCAGGAACAAATGTTATCAGTTTTAGGACTTGGGTCTAAAAATGGCCTTATCGACAAAAAATATCGCTGGCCCAAAAACGAAGTGCCTTACGTTATTGTAGGAGGATACTTCAGTAAGTAAATAAAAATGTATATAATATAAATTTAAATTAATCCGTAGAAGGTAGTTTTTTTATTTCAATATTGTTTGGAATTTTTCTACTTTTCAATTATTATTTTTTAGATCGAAGTCAAATTAATTACATTCATAAGGCTGTTGCAGAATTTAGAAACATTTCTTGCGTTAAAGTTAGACCCAAAAAAGTTACGGACACAAAATATGTTCAAATCACGGTAATTAGTGAAATTTTTTAATTATTGTATTCAATTTATGTTCAAAATACTCCTATTATTATTTATAATTGGTCAATTGAAAGCCGTATTAAGGCTAATTCTAAGATTAATCAAGGAACAACAACTTTTATTTATTTCAGGGTCTTCCAGGCGGTTGTTATTCTAGTGTCGGATTCCAAGATGGAGTCCAGACCCTTAATTTAGCACCATACGAAATTGAGAAAGGGTGCTTCCGTAAAGCGACTATTCAGCACGAATTTCTGCACGCTTTAGGGTTCTATCACCAGCAATCGACTCACGACAGGGACGAATACGTGACCATCATGTGGGACAATATTTTGCCAAGTAAGATAATTAATGATGATAGTGAAAGCCCAAAGGCAGGTCCATGAGCAAAGACGCCCTCGATATACACAAAAAGTATATACACTGATAAGTAGAAAGTTGCTTGGAATTTTAATTGGCAATATGTTTTTTTTATTTTCTATTCTGCAACCTGTTTTTTACGAACAATAAACAGAGCCTATTAACTATAAATATCTTACAATATAAACTTGACTAGCAATACCCAACGACGTGTCTAATGGGTATTGGCAATACTTTTAATCAAAAATAACTAGTGGGGCGCATGGCATTGTGCTTTAAGGCAAATTCCTGGAACTTCCCGTACCAAAAATTATTTTTTTTTTTTTAATTTTACTTTGAAAAATTAGATTTTTGAAAAACTATAAATTATTGAGAAAAAATATATTTTTGGAAAAATGACTTTTTGAAAAAAAATGTTTTCTTTATTTTGAAATATTTTGGAAGTTCTGAACTTTTTTCAAAGCAATCGTACTGCTTTAACTGCATAGAAACGAAATATCGAAGCGCGTAAGCGCGGCGCCGCCGTCTAACGGATAAGCATTGATACGGAACCCATAGGAATGTAAACAAAATTTATACTTATTGTTAAAATCTCCATAAAATGTCTAATAATTTTATGTGTATATGTCTAATGTTCATTTTTGACTGCCAAATGGCGTTTTTTTACTTTTTAGATCTGCCTTCATGAAAATTTAATTAGTTGTTCATCTTGTCAATATAAGTAAAATATTTTTTAAATTATTAAAATCGGACACTCTTTTCTCTTAAAAACTGAGTTACCGTATGTGGCACTTTTTGCTCTGTATCTTCGAAACGGCAGACCTGCCTTCGCCAAAAACTAGTCTTCTTATCAATCGAATCGAATTATTCAAATGGCTTCATCCGTGTTCCCGAAATGTCGACGAAAATTTGTATCCGCACACACACATACACGCACACATATATACACGCACACATACATACACGCACATACATACACACACACATACACACACACACATAATCCATTTTTTCTAAGGTATGCCAAAATGTTCAGAAGGTTTTGAAACGTAAAGATATATAAAAATTTTATTTTCTTTTTTTGCGATTACTATAACTTGCCCTACGGGGAACTTAATAATATATTTAGTAGAAGAGAAATGAACAAGAAATGGTACTCTCACACAATGAACCTGTCTTCGGGCATAACACTAATAGTGAAATAAAACTATATATTCTTCACATCCAGACACTGAGCACAACTTCAACCATATATACGGCTAGTACCGTTCAGGATTTCGGAACCGAGTATGACTATTTGAGCGTCATGCATTACGGCGCTTACGGGTTCTCGAAAAACGGTGAAAGAACTATCGTCACGAAGGTAAGTAAAATTTTTTTAGGTTTCCTGGTACTACATACACGATTATTGGCTATCATTATTCTTTGTGGTTTTTGTTGCAGGATCCAGCGATGTCAGATGTCATTGGCCAAAGGGTGAAGATTAGTGATATCGATATTGTGAAATTGAATAAAATGTATTGTGGTAGAATTATATATATATATATATATATATATTATATGTGATGTTTTGTATGGGTATACATTTGTATATATGAGTATATATATATGAACATATATTTTTTAATTTTTAATTATAATATTTAATGAGAAAGACTTATTTAAACGGAGCATGGCAGAATCAATGTTAATAGTTCGGACTAACAATAGCATAAATCTAAGAACCGACACAATATTTTACATGACACTTATATAAACATCATTATTAATTTATAAAATTTTTCATTTATCTTATTCTTTTCAATAAATTAATTTGTTTTTTTTCATTTTTATCGTTTTTTGTATGCGATAGCACTCCTTTGTTTACATTATAATGATACCCATTCTGTCTCCATCTAGATAAGTACTTCAAATTTGTTCAGAATATTTCTGTAAGTGTTATATGTTTCTTTAGTACTGTGTCAAGCATTGCAAGGAATAGTTGGTGTTTTTGTATATCAAAAATTAAATGAAATTTAAATAAATTATTAAAGAATGTGTAGTATATAAGTAACTGTTTTTGAAATTACACTGAAGATGAGACACACCATGGTCTCGAAACGTCTGTAATCATAAAATAAAGTTGTGTTAAACAAATCTGAGTGCTGTTTTGTTCATATTAAACAATTAATATTTGTTCCACTCATATCATAAAATTTATATATATATATTATATATATATATATATATTATATATATGTATACATATATACATATATGTATATAAAATAAATAAATATAAAAATAGTTTACTGTAAAAGCTCAATATGAATTCTTTGCAAGTTTATTATATTAATATGACCATCAAAGTCCGATTAATTTTGTTTCTTAATTAAAAAAATTTAATGACCATAGAATATACCTAATAATTAATTTAATAATTAAATATAATATAAATTCTATGTGTTTCACATCTCAACGTTAATCCAAAACGTGATTACTTTAAGTAAGTTTACGTGACTGCATTAAGTGTAACTACCATGAAAAAATAGAAAAGAAATTTATCCCTTGCAGTTTGAAAATTGTGAGCTTTTAATTACAACATGGAGTTTATACGAGTCAAACTGTTATCATTTTTCAGTTAACCTTGTTAATTTTATTATTTTTTGTTCATTTAAACTTTTGAAACCGTGTAACCATAAACCACGACTAGGGACCATAATAAAAAGTAATGATAAAATTGTACCGAAGTTTTTAGAATAAAACTATTTGTTCTAATTGAAATTAAAATTTTCAGGATTGAGCTTGCCGATTAGGCATTGAAAAGTATATTTTAAAAAATGTTCGTTAATTTTGTGCTAAAATTGCGAAAACGAAACTTATGACTGCCTGGCACAAGTGCTTAAAACAAGGAGAAGGACATGTTTAAAAATAAACTAAAATCAATATTTTTACAAAACTTAAGAATTTTATGCAAACACTTACGGGATGATGAATCTACTGAGACCTCTTTTGAACCACAACAGCCCGCTAAGCGCAAATATAAACGACACTTTACTTGACACTCATAAGACGTTTACTGACATACGCCGCTTCAGCATGGAAACGCACAACCAAGACCACAACAGATGGAGACTACAAATAGCACAGAACAAAAGCACTGCGACTGGTACAGACAAATCAAGGGACCCACTGACGAGAACTACTACTCAACAAAATATTTACATGAACAGACGGACATACCGACTATACTCAAACATAACAAAAAGCTCACTAAAAATTTTTACCGGAAGTGTAGGGATCATGATAACAGTACCATCCGAGCTTTAGGCCAAACACATCGGAAATGACATGCTATGGGAATTATGCCATGCCAAACTACTGATCGAGCCCGTAGTAACCATATGAGCAATAAACCACGTATAAAATGATTTTTTTAGGAGACTAAAACTTTTCTCCTTTTTTTGTTCTTGTTTAATGTATAAAATATTGTAAAAATATAAAATAGGCAATGCAAGTTAATAAAAACTAGAAATTTTTGGATAGAATACCTAGGGAGAAAAACTCACACACAATCACTGTATTTACATAAAAGTATCCATATATTGAATAAATTTTATCTGTCTGTCTGTCTGTTTTCGGTACTTATATGGGCTTCTAAATCTCCTAAGATCACTATTGAACACAAAGAGTGTATTAAATACACGTAATAAAAAAAAGAATATATCTAACGTTGATCAGACCATGTCTAATGTATACTGTCCCAATATGGACAAACATTAAAAAACTACAGATATTACAAAACAATCACCGAGACTAATACTAAACCTGATACGTGACCCAACTACCGGACACTACTACTCAACAAAACTCTTACACGAACAAGCAGACATACCGACTATGATCAACCACATTAAGAAAATGACGAAAAACTTTTACCAAAAATGTAAAGAATATACCAATAATAACATTAAAACCCTCGGACAGTACACGCCTGACATCAAATGGTACGGCAAATATCCAATGCCAAACTACATTCTGGTCGAACAAATAAGAGTATCTAATAATTTAAAGTATGTAAATTAAATATATATTTAAAGATTGTGATTTTTTTTAAGAATGTTTGAACTTTCTTTTTTCGATCACAAAACCGTTAATTATTTTTAAATCAAATGTGTAATTTAAAGTGGATAATTGTAGTATTAAATTAGAGTAGAATACTTTAGTAGTAAACTCATAAATCAAGGTTATTGTATATTGTATTGTAATAAAACAAAAATAAACTAAAAAAAAACTGTTTTTGGGTATTAGAACTTGGTATAGCTTTATGAGATACTAACGAAACTTTTGAACGCTTTTGAAATGAGTGAAACATGTGGAGTTTTGACATGTTTTGAATTGAGCGAAAAAACTTTTTTTCCAAAACAAATTTTTCTCAAAAAGTTGTAAACCATGGCGGGTTACAGAAGGAAATTTTTTGTCCACATCCCTAATTCGTATGCATTTTTCAATAGCATATCCTTTAAAATATAGAATGCATGTGCCTGAGGTAACCGTCCATCGTTGCTTTCGGGTATTATAACTTCGGTCTTGCGTCATGAAGATTCTACCGAAACTTTTGATTTATTTCAATTTTCAACAATTTGATTCTACGCGCTTTTGACATGTGTGAAACATGTGGAGTTTTGACATGTTTTGAAATAATCTTGTTTCACCACTCATAAAAGGTAATCCATATTATTTTACATGGAATATAAGTTTTTTAATTTAATTGAATTCATAATATATATAATATATTGTAGATTTATTATATATAGAATATATAGACTTGTTTAAACTGCACCTTATTGCTGAAAGTTTACTACATATGCGACAGATGTCGCGTTCATAATTCATTCATGCATTTTCAATAGCACATTCTCCTAAATATAAAGAATACATGTGCCTTTGCAGTATTTCGAAGCGTGCGGTATGCATCAATGCCGAATGCATTTATGTTTGGTGCCATCTCGTTATGTTTAATAATAACTGGCAGAATGACTAGTATTTCATCATGTTCACAGTAAAATTTACCCATACGTTTCTTTAATCAAAATGTAACAATTATATATTAATTAATATTATTATTGTATCACTATTTGAAATAAATATTAAAACTTTGGTCACCAAATTTTTTTTCCAAAAAACTTTTTTTCCCAAAAATTTTTTTTCCCAATTTTTTTCCAAAAATTTTTGCAAAGTAATATTACTGAAAATTTTGTGTTAGAGGTTAACGGTTACAGAGCAACAATTTTTTTGACCAAAATTTTTTTTCCAGAAATTTTTTTGTCCAAAATTTTTTTGATCAAAATTTTTTTGACCAAAATTTTTTTGACTAAAATTTTTTTCCCAAAATTTTTTTTCCCAAAATTTTTTGGACCGTAATTTTTTTGACCAAAATTTTTTTTCCCAAAATATTTTGACCAAATTTTTTTCCAAAAATTTTTTTGACCAAATTTTTTTCCCAATATTTATTTTCCCACAATTTTTTTGACCAAAAGCTTTTGACCAAAATTTTTTTCCCAAAACTTTTTTGACCAAATTTTTTTTCCCAAAATTTTTTTGACCAAATTTTTTTTTCCAAAAATTTTTTGACCAAAAATTTTTTGACCAAAAATTTTTTTTCCAAATTTTTTTTATCCCAAATTTTGACCAAAAATTTTTTTCCGAAAATTTGTTGGACCAAAATTTTTTTGACGAAAAATTTTCAGACCAAAATTTTTTGAACAAAATTTTTTTGACAAAAATTTTTTTGTGTAAAAATTTTTTTGACCAAAAATTTTTTTCCAGAAATGTTTTTGACCAAAAATTTTTTTCCAAAAACTTTTTTTCCCATAATTTTTTGGACCAAAAATTTTTTTGACCAAAATTTTTTTGACCAAAATTTTTTTTTCCCAAAATTTTTTTGACCAAAATGTTTTTCCCTAAATTTTTTGGGACCAAGTTGGATTGGTGTGGCCTGTGTTGGCGTAAGTGGTAGAGTGATGGCTTCGTACCAAAAGGGTACCGAGTTCAAATCCTACCTCCAGTCATAAAACGGAATTCAGCAGTATGACTAATGTTGTGGTATTTATTTATTGTTGAATAACACTAAGTAGATATAACAAACTAACAGGTCATATGGCCAAAAAAAGTTAGTTTGGTGTGGCCTGTGTTGGCGTAAGTGGTAGAGTGATGGCTTCGTACCAAAAGGGTACCGAGTTCGAATCCTACCTCCAGTCATAAAACGGATTTCAGCAGTACGACTAACGTTGTGGTATTTATTTATTGTTGAATAACACAAAGTAGATACAACAAACTAACAGGTCATATGGCCAAAAAAAAGTTAAATTGTTACGGCCTGTGTTGGCGTAATTGGTAAAGTGATGGCTTCGTAGCAAAAGGGTACTGAGTTCGAATCACACCTCAAGGCGTAAAACGGAGTTCAGCAGTACGACTAACGTTGTGGTACTTGTTTATTGTTGAATAACACAAAGTAGATATAACAAACTAACAGGTCATATGGCCAAAAAAAGTTGGTTTGGTATGGCCTGTGTTGGCGTAAGTGGT